CCGAGCTTCACGATCTGCGTGACATGATCGCCAGCCCTTGGCTTATGGGCGGCGACTTCAACATGATCACTTCCTGTGCGGACAAGAACAACGGCAACCTCAACCCACGCACCATGAGCCGATTTCGTCGCTTCATCGCGGACCATGCCCTGCGTGACATCTATCTCCACGGCAGGAGGTACACGTGGTCCAACGAGCAAAGCAACCCCACTCTCGTCAGGAACAACCACGTGCTCTGCACCCCATCCTGGGCAACCCCCAACCCCCATCACATGATGCGTTGTTTGGCCACGGCCGTGTTTGACCACTGTCCCCTCGTCGTGGATTGTGCCCCGCGTAGCTCCGGCAAACGAAGATTCCACTTCGAGAGTTTCTGGCCAAAGCTTGATGGATTCCTCGCTACGGTGGATGCCGCTTGGAACTCCCTTCCGCCGGATCCAGACCCGTTTCACCGCATCTACGGTCGGATGAAGATCACGGCCCGCCGCCTCCAGAGCTGGGGGGCGCGCACCACGAGCAACATCTCCCTACAGCTCCAGATTGCGCGTGAAATCATCTACCGCCTGGACGTCGCGCAAGACACCCGCCCCCTGTCCTCGCCTGAAATCTGGCTTTGCCACGAGCTCAAACGCGCCTATCTAGGTCTGGCCTCCCTCGAGCGCTCCATACTCCGCCAACGCGTGCGCCTTGGCTGGCTCCGCGGCGGCGGCGACACTAACGTGGCCATCTTCAAAATCCATGCCGCCCATCGCGCGCAGAAGAACCATGTGGCCTCCTTCCGTGTGGGATCGCAAACCGTGACTGACGAAGGGGAGATGGCCAAAGCGGCCTACGATCACTTCTGCTCCATCCTAGGCACTTCTACGGCCAGAGATCACTCCATCGACCTGGCGAGCATCGACCCCCGTCATTTCAACCGTGATGACCTGGAGCAACCGTTCACCGAGGAGGAAATTTGGGCTGCCGTCAAGCTTCTCCCCACCGGCAAGGCGCCTGGACCGGACGGGTTCACGGCCGAGTTCTTACGCGGATGCTGGCCGATCATCAAGGCTGACATCCTAGCCGCGTTCGACAAACTCTATGCCCTGAACGGCCGCGGCTTTCATAAGCTCAATGAGGCCCTTCTCATTCTCCTCCCCAAGAAGCCCGACGCGTGCACACTCGCCGATTACAGGCCGATCAGCTTGATTCACCTGCTAGCCAAGCTTTTTGCTAAAGTTCTCTCTCTAAGGCTCGCTCCGAAGATGGGGATGCTCGTATCCGTCAACCAGAGCGCATTCATCGCCGGCCGCACTGTGCATGAGAACTTCCTGTTAGTTCAACAAACCGCTCGCCTGCTCCACAACTTGAAGGCCCCAAGAGTACTCCTCAAGCTCGACATCGCGGAGGCGTTTGATACCGTATCTTGGCCCTTCCTCCTTCAAACTCTTCGCCACCTCGGCTTTGGGCGCCGTTGGTGCGAATGGGTGTGCATCCTCCACTCCACGGGATCCACACGAGTCCTTGTCAACGGCAATCCTGGGCCACCCATCGATCATGCTTGCGGGCTGCGCCAAGGCGACCCCGTCTCGCCGCTGCTCTTCGTCATTGCGATTGACACGCTTAACTCCTTGCTCCAGCACGCCTCGCGTGCCGGCTTGCTTCAGCGCCTTACCAATCGGCACGCCGCGTCAAGCATATCGCTCTTCGCTGATGACGTGGTCATCTTCTGCCACCCAACTAGCTCGGAGCTAGCTACGATCCGCGAGCTGTTGCGGGTGTTCGGCGTTGCTTCCGGTCTTCGAACCAACTTTCTCAAATGCTCGGCCACTCCCATTCGCTGCGGCCATGAGGTGATCAACACCATTAACTCCACGATTGGATGCGCAAGTCGCCAACTTCCCCATCGTGTACCTGGGTCTTCCCCTGACCATCCGCAAGACCCCCTCTTCGGCTTTGCTTCCTCTGGTGGACAAGATGGCGAGAAAGCTCGCGACCTGGAAGGCCATGCTTCTAACTCGCGGTGAGCGGCTTGCCCTTGTGCGCCACGTGCTCACTGCCATGCCCATCCACATCCTCATGGCGATTGTCATTTGCCCGAAGATCCTCAAACGAATCACCCACATCATCCGCGACTTCCTCTGGCATGGGCGCCGGGACGCCAGCTCTGGCTGCTACCTGGTGGCTTGGCAGCGTGTGTCCCTGCCGGTGGAGTTCGGTGGCCTTGGCGTGAGGGACCTCCGCCTCACCGGCATTTCTTTGCGGTGTCGCTGGCTCTGGCTCAAGGCCACGGATCCTTCACGGCCGTGGCATCATCTGCAGCTCCCCCGCGATGACGAGGCTGCCTGTTTCTTCCGGGCCTCCACCTCCTGGCATCTTGGTGACGGCAAGACGTGCCACTTCTGGAGCGACCACTAGCTTGATGGCCATTCCATTCCCGAGCTCGCCCCCACCCTCACCACCCTTGTACTGCGTTGCTGGCGCCGCCGCACGCTGGTCCGTGATGGGCTCACCAATGGTGCGTGGATTGGGGATATCCACGGCACCCTCGGGCCCCAGGCAGTCATCGAGTACGTAAGCTTGTGGCGCAAGCTACAGCTGGTCGTCCTCTCTGATGAGCCCGATCGCCTCACCTGGGACTGGACAACCAACGGATCCTACACCGCCAGCTCTTGCTATCGCGTGCTGTTCCACGGCTCCACCGCGCCGCCGTGCTGGAAACTTCTCTGGAAAAGCTGGGGCCCTCTTAACAACAAGGTCTTCCTCTGGCTTGCTTACCTCGACCGATGCTGGACCGCAGAGCGGCGTGTGCGCCGCGGCCTATCCACCGACCCTACTTGCATTCTCTGCGACCAGGAGGTGGAGTCGATCGACCACCTTCTCGCCGGCTACGTGTTTTCTCGTATCACCTGGCACGAGATTCTCTCCTGGTGCCGTCTAGTCGCCCCGCCGCTTGATGGCACCGCGAGCTTCTTCGCATGGTGGACCGCGGCCGCGGAGGCCTCCCCTGGCTCTTTGAGAAAAGGCCTCAACTCCATCTTTGCGCTGACCGCCTGGGCAATTTGGAAGCATCGCAATGCGGCCATATTCGACGGCCTTCGCCCCTCCACCGAGGTCCTGATCAAGAGCATCAAGGACGATGCCCGCCTTTGGGCCAAGGCGGGCGCCACCGGGATTGCTAGCATCTTACCTATAGCCTGACCCCCTGCTTCGAGGCTGAGCATCCTCTCCCTCTGCTCATCGCTGCGCCCTCCTAGACGCTGGCTTGTGTACGTCTGCGAGGGTGCACCCTGTAACTCCCTGTAACTTCTATTTCTTCTCCTCTATCAATGAAATGATACGCTGCTAAGCTTATTCCCCAAAATATATTTTGAAAACCAAAACCATGTTGGGTTTAACGAAACTAACTTCTTGTTGTAAATGTCGATATATTTTCTTAGCTTATGAACTTGGTCAGACTTAAACAAGTTTGACTTAGGACAAAACTAGTACTTCAATTATTCTGGAATGGAGGGAGGATAATCCAGGATGAGAGGATTGAAGCAAAGAGGAGAGAGAACAAGGTCCGGAAGAACCTTGGATTCCTCTCTTCTTGATTCTATTTCTGTTTTCACCGAATCTTCATCTTCATTGATCAAATTAAACTAACACAAACAGGCATCAAATCTTAATATAATTTTGAAGCTTGATTGTTTCTCTTCTCAAGTAAGATCGTCAACTAATCTGTTCCTAAAACATCTTTCATTGTGTAACAGAGGATATCGGAGAACATAGCTTTGAGGTATATTTCGAAGTGACAGAACAGTACCTTGAGTATATCATATATGATCCTATAGATGCACATTTCTGGAAATGTTTCTTAGGATGTGTCTTTGGATTGCAAGCAATATGTTTTCGATAGCATGGTTTTATATAGAGGAGCGATATAAGGTGAAGCAATATCCGGTTTCTGGAAAGAAAATAAATCCTACAGGTAAGATTACTAGGAATCATATATTCATATAGATCAATACAAGATTGCAACTTAAAAGATAAGTATACAGATGGTTTTGCATCAGGACGAGAAAGACCCAAATATTTCTTTCCCTGCTCAAGTAGGACTGCTATCAGATAGTTCAATTTGGGCATCTCAAACACAACCACTCAAACCACTCAAAATTAAGAAACATATGGAGCATATGCATGGCGCCCATAATATATATGTGAAAAGAAGGGAAATAATTTATAAAACCACTCAAACACTTTGAGAAGGCCTACAGGAAGAAAGCCAAGTAAAGAAATTTACACCGAAAGTATCAGCAATAGATAAAAAAACTTGCCTATCTAAATCTACATACAGCATCAATTGATTACCAGGCATACTTACCAGTTATAAGTAAAAGACCACAAAAGCTAAAAGACATAACATAACCACTTCTGTTTTTCTTTAAAAAAAAATTATACCAAGAATTTCCTCTTTGTCAATTAATCAGGCTACAGACATGCTGTAAACAGTACATAGGTAAGTGACCATGAGTCCAGGACAAAGTAGCCCTAGCAAATGTTGCATCTTTTGCACACAAGTGAGTAGCGAAGATGACAGAGCGTTTTACAAAGTTTATAGTGCAGAAACTAAATAAGCCTGATATGACAACCACTTTATTCTGCATGCCTATCATGTGAACAGGGGGGAAAACACCGGAACCATGGGGTATGGTATCAGGTTACGCATCTTTTGCTTATTGGGTCCTTTGCACCATATAGTCTTAGATAGCAAAGACATACTCCCTCCGTTCCAAATTACTCGTCGTAGAAATGGATGTATCTAGAACTAAAATACATCTAGATACATCCATACCTGCGACAAGTAATTCGAAACGGAGGGAGTAGTAGATAGTACTCCCTCCGATCCATATTACTTGTCGCTCAAATGGATGTATCCATTTGAGCGACAAGTAATATGGATCGGAGGGAGTACTAAACATTATCACCAGTGACTCACTCGTGCGACAATGCAACAGACTTGTCCATCATGGATTCCTTTAGTGCAGCTCCGAAATATCAGCAGTAAGCACCTTCACAGTTGACAACCCATCGAACAACGGTTTTCCATCCACACCACCACCATTGTTGCCTTCCATCGAGAAGAAGGAATGCTGAACAAGACTTTCACTGAACCTATGTCTCCTAAGTTTCAGATAAGCGCTCCATTCATACCGTATGGAGATACTACCATCGGCACCAGAAACATGCTGCAGATATTGCCATAGAGAGCCTGATTCCCCTTTGTCAGAAAGAAGGAGCACACCTCCTTGGATGTCCGGCACCAGAGAGAAGGCCATCACCTGCAATTTGATCCGGTGCTTCAACGACCAGGCCCAGCTCTCGTGATCCTCTAGAACCTAGAGATCAGCCGTGCTGCCATGGTAGTCGTACAATCCAAGAGTGTCTTTCATCTCAAACGGCTCAAGACAGGAGCCCTCAACTGGCGAAAGCAGATGCTGGAAGGACTCGGCCATGGTGTCGAACACCAGCATGTTGTTCACCTTGCCGTTGCCACCAGCACCAGGCAACTTAATGGGCTGCCAGTAAAGCCTGCCGCCTGCCAGGACGTGCGGTTGAAATAACACCATCATCGGCATCGCCCGCGCTAGATCTCCGGACGTCCACGGCTCGAGAGCCTTCCCGATGCACCTGAGCTCGCCGGACCCTAGGGTGTACACCTGGTATACGGCACGGAACTGGCCGTCCTCGGTTGTCTTCAAGCAGCACAGAACTCGGTAGGACTCCGACGGGCGGTGAAAGTATAACCCGGCGATGCAGTAGACGTGAAGCAGCGGGAGGGGCGCGTGCTGGCGAGTCGCCGGGTTGCAGATGTAGATGCCGCCGTAGGCGACGAGGATAAGGAGGCCGTCGCAGGAGGCGAGCACCTCGAAGTGCTCGTCGGCTGCGGTCCGGGCCGCCCGCGCAACGGGGCGCCGCTCGCCGGTGCTGTGGTCGAGGGCGTCGATCCTTCTCTCATGGGTGTCTTCGGTGGTGACGAGCGGGAGCGAGGGCTGGCGGCGGTGGTGGGCGAGGAGGAATTTGGAGTCGGAGGTGAGGCGGCGGTGCCAGGAGCGGCAGACGGCGCGGCAGCGGAGGAGGGGCTTCGGCGGCAGGCGGAGGAGAATCTCCCAGGTGACGATCTCGTCAGGGAGGTGAGGCCCGCCGACGGCCGCTTCTGCCATGCTCCTCCTACTACTGGATCTTGGGGGAATTTGTTGTAGCGGCGGCAACGCCGCAGGAAACGGAGCACACCAAATTTGCTCTGTGACAATGAGTTAACTATAAGAGAGGTAGTTGTAGTAACTTAGCTAGTCACCACTTCTAATGGCCGACTTGATGAATAGTCTGCGCGGTTTATTTTCGCTGGTTTTTTTCGTCATCCTCCCACCTTCGGTTTATTTTCGTCATCCTCCCACCTCCTTTTAACTCGTAACCCTCCCGCGAAAAAAACGGTGTAAAAAAACCCTACGATCGATCCCTCGTGCCCACTGCAGATCGTTCTCCGTCACCAACCAGCCTTTCCAGGACATACGAAATCCTTCGCCGCCGCCCCCATCTCAGATCTCCCTGCCGCCGACCCTTGTCGCCGACTCTTCGTTGCCGCCGCCGCCGTTCGAGGGGAGACGCCGACGCTCGTCTCCAGGGCAAGGCGGTTTGAATCCCTGCCGCCGAACTCTGGGAGACGTCGTCGCCCCCGTCCGAGGGGAGACGCCGCGCCGCCTCCCCTCCATGCTCGCGCTAGCCCCCCTCCCCCCGCTTTGTCGTGCTACTTCCTCGGCCCACTGCAGCACCATGGTGGGATCGAGATCGGGGATGAGGTGGGAAGGGACGAGGCAGAGGCCATGAAACCATCCCCTCTCTGCCCAAGCGCCTTCTGCTGGTCGTCGCCGATATGTCTCATCCATCGCCCCGCCATCGCCCCTTGCTCATGGCCACCGCATCGATTCCATCAATCCTCCCCACTCTCTTTTTCTCGAGCCTCAACAGATCTGCAAGGGCGGCGGCCCACTATGGACATCCATGGCGGCCGTGGTGAGTCACTGTAGTCCCGTTCCTTGTATTCCTTGTACACCATGCTCCTTGTTTCTTTTGGCCCCCACATGCAGCTTGTTTCCACACTGGCCAAATCCTACCAAGGTATGCCCGAGGGTCGCTTGGGAGGTGCAGAGTGGTGAATTAGTGCATCGGGTCCCTCAGGAAGGTGTTGCGGTCAGTGGAGAGTTGGGAAGGTTTGTTTGTTTCAGGACCATAGCATAGCCTGGCCAACTAATTCAGTCGGGAGGGCAGATATATGTTCCAAATGCACATATAATTTAATAAGCATATATACGTCCCATGTATATGCAACCTACAAAATATATGCATCGAAGTATTCATATCTGCATTTTTGGGGTTTTTTCTTTTTTCTTGGTACCTTAGGATCACATGGGTAGGAATAGGATATAAGGAAAGACTAGCATGTTGGTTCAGGAATCATAGGCAATTTTAAGCCAGTGATATTTATAGTTGGTTTGAGTGTGGCTTAGTTTTCAGGATTCATTTCTCCATCCAGTGATATTTATCACGTTGGTTTCGGAATCTGCTTTGATGAGTAAAGTCCAGGATTATTTTCTCCATCCTGTTTATTAATTCTGGGAGAATCTTGCATATTTTCTAAAATAAGGCATGTGCAGTCATATGGCTGATTTTGTTTTCCCTAGGAAGGGCACCGTAATTATATCATGCTAAGAACATTGACCCTGTTAGTAATTTGGTTTAAGGAGTTTTGCTTCTGTACACCCCCCTAAATGTTTGCATGAATCTTAAGTTACTAGGAGTACCAGATAACAGGTCCTGGTTCTACAAACTCCTTCGTCTGTGCCTTTTTTCCAATATATAATGTTCATAACATAAAACTCATGCTTGCTGAATTTGATAGGTGAAATGTGGAGTAAGAGGAAACACCCGAACAAGCGGCAATGAATATTTTGCTTCGTGGTGATTGGGCAGATGACTATCAACACCGACGGAGCATCGTCCATCTTGATAGCACACTGCCAAGCTGCGCAGGTATGGGAATGTCATGTTGTGTTTTTCTGTGAAGAACACCTTTTTATCTTCATCTTGATAAGTAACTGCATTTTGTGTTTTTTGCTCTGTAGTTCGGCATGAGAGATAGAGTAGTTAGTCTAGGAAACTTATGTATGAGCCACTCAGATTCAATTAGTTTTTATGTGACAGTGCATATGGTGTTGTTGCTATGAGTATGCTGGTCAGCAACTTCCAGTTGGTTTCATCGAGAGGGATAAGGAGGATTTCACCAAGAAATAAAAACAGAGAAAAGGCCATAAGTGTTACTACCAATAGCCTCAAACGAGAAAATGGATACTTTCCATGATATCTGTGCAATATTTCAAAAGTTTTAGCAAGTGCCTAATCATATAACGTGAATACCAAATTACTATTAATATGAGCAGTGTGCATGCTTTAGAAAAGAGTTTTATGTTAATGCAGTGGTATTGTGACCAACACCCTGAGGAGATTGGCACACTTGCATAAGTGAAGGCTCAGTTTTTAGTGGCGAAGAAATGCCGCAAAACTTTGAGAAGGTGCATGTCTACTGTACTTTCAGTATGATAGTGACTGATTCCTATGGGGTTATTTCTGAAACTTTGGCTTGTTTGCTTATTTCCTTACAAGTTGTAACCTAACCTTGAACTACTTATCAATAGCTGACCATAAATTAATTAAAACTATTGCATAAACATAAGAAAACTCCTAATATTGTTGCTTGATTTTGCAACTTCCATCTCAATCTATGCTCATCAGAACCACTTCGAGTATGAGAACCTCTCCTGGAATCAGTTCAAGCCAGTATTCTTGGCAATGATGGAGTGTTATGTATGAGAAGGTGTTATGTATGACTTCAGATCATTCTGGATTACCTGGCTTATTAGAACTCATAATCTAGATCATTGATGCAACCACAAAGCAATTGTTATTGTATGGTGATGCAGTACGAGCCTCGAGTAATTCCATATTTTGCAATTGAGTTTCACTATTAAATTTTATGTCCAACCAGGTTCCTTCTGTTCTGATGCTTAATTGGTAATTGGCAATCTCATGCTTGGGTGCATACTGCGTAGGGGATTAGAACTTGCTTTTGTTTAATTCTGTACACGTAAAAAATTTGAACCTGGAGTATTCTCTTGCTTAGAGGTGATCCATATTCATATGGCGTTACCTCTTGTAGGAAGATGGCAGTGAGATGGATGTTGATGCTGCAGCTCCATCGGCTCAAGTTTCAATCAAGCATGGACTCCTAGAGACTGAAATATACTGCTACCTTCTTGTGTTGATTTTTCCTTATAGATCACAAGAAATATGATGAGGTACGTCCAAGAATTTCCTCCACTGTGTCATCATTAGTGAAACATACCGATTTGATGTTCTCTTTAGGCTAAAGCATGTGCAAACGCTAGCATTGCTCGTTTGAAGAATCTCAACAGGAGGACCGTTGATGTTTTGGCTTCTAGGCTGTATTCGTATTACTCGTATGTCCATGAACTCACCAACAACCTTGTTGAAATTCGTGGGTGAGTTATTATATCATAATTAATCTCTACTCCTAATGTCTTAGTTGGTAGAATAGTCTTCATGGTTTTTTTCGTCCCACCACTTTCGTCTGATTTTTTCGTCCCCTCCTCCACCCCGACGCACACACCCAAAAAACCCATCCCGCACCATCGCTCCTCCCGACCGTCTCCCGTCTCCACTCGCCGCCCGCTGCCCTCGCCTCTCTTTGCCCTGATCTCGATGGAGCCTCCTACCTCGGCGGGGCGGCAACCTTGAGTGCCGGCAGCGCCGTATGTATCTCCACGATCCCCTTCCTGCAGTCCTATCCGCCCCTCTCTATTTCCTCACAGATCGCCGCTTAGGGTTTTGGCATGCCGCCACCGCCTCCCGCGCTCCCTGCCACCGCCCTTGCATCTCAACCACCGGCCCGCCCCTAGCCCCGCCCGCGGAGCCCCTCCTTCCATGGCGTTTCTATGATGGTCCGCCATCATGATCGCCTTCATCCTCAAGATCGGGAACATCCTAGAAGAAATCGGGCGACCCCAAGGCACCCAGATGTACTGGCTCTACTCCCTGGCGGCGGCGTGCTGGGCACGTTTGCCAAGGGTTCAGCGTGATGATGCTGGCCATGGATGCGGCTGGGCTGAGCCGTTGAGCGTGACGAAGAGGTGACAAGAGGAGGCCATCAACGACGCCACGGTCCGGATGTCCAAAACCAAGCGCGCGCGGTTCGGGCATGGGC